GTGAAAGGAGAAGTACACCTTTCAAATGGTTCTTGATGGACGTGGCGCTATTGCCGGTTTGTTACCTTTTCCAGATTTGTTTGTGTTCAGCCATGTTGATTGTGCCTTTTATAGGAAGAAAAACCCGTTTAGAACTGGAAGTGAGAAAACCCTGTTTGTATGAAACTAAAATGGAGATAATTGGTGTTTTCTGAGACCTGATTGTATTTTACGTCATAGACGATTTTTTCATTTCATAAATCTTTCATATGGCCCTCATGTGATATTGAACTATAGATCTTGTGATTGTGACCTGGAAGCACTACCACTGTGCTATGGACCCACAGATCTATATTAAAAATCATATAAAATTCATTTGATTTAATAATTACTATATTTTATAATGTAATTATGAATTTTAAATAAAATTTTAAAATTGGAGATGGTTCAATTGAAACTAAAAATGATTTTTATAAAAAAATATAATTTTTTTTTAGAATTCATAAAATAATAATATAACCCAAATACAATATTTTAATTTTTTTCTAAAATTTTTAAACCATAATTTATTACTTGAGATTAATTGTATTAAAAAACTTTTTATCAAATCTATTATATTATAATTTAATAAAATATATTTTTAATTAGATTGTGGATCATATTTTTGTTCAGCAGAATTAATATATTTTATTTTTAATTATTTGTTTTCTATTATTATAAAAAATTTTTATTTAACCATTTATTGAATATTATAAAAAAAATATTGTTATTAGTTATTTTATTACATTATCAAGATAGTTTATTGAAATAAAACAATTTAAAATATCTATATCATTAAAGAATTAATTAATTATTTTTAAAATAAGATATAATTTTATAATAATTACTTATAGTATTTGAAATTTATTTATATATAGTATCAAATCAATAACTATCATTAATAAATTAATAATAGATGATTTTATTTATATTTATTATTTACAAAACTTAATAATAAACTATATGTTTCAACTTTTAGTATATTTAATATTATAGATTATAAGAAAAAATTTTTTAAAATTAAAAAAAAATATATAAAAATATAAGAAAAATTAAATATATTATATTTAAATAAAAAAGAAATAATATTTTAATAATAAGGAGTAATATAAGTAATCAAAGATTATTTATTTAAGTAAAAAAAAATATTAACAATTATTTAATCCCTATGAAAATATAAATTATATATTATATATACTTGAAATTAAAATATATTTTATATAATAATTTTTTTAATATTCAGTGAAATTTAACAAAAAATTTAATAATATAAAAATTATTTAATTATCAAAAATTTTAATTTATTAAATTTTATTTTTTAAAAAAAATTTTTTTAATTTAAATACTAGTTGTTAAAATCAAAATATAAAATAGAATCCAAAGTATAAGTAATTACTATATATGGTTTTAGATCCAGCTATTTTTTTCTCATACAAGCTCTACCGTATATTTATTTTATATTTTTATTATTTTATTTAATATAATTTTAATTAAAAAATAATAATAATAAAAATAAAGAATATAAATTTATAGAATTATAATTTTAGTGTTATAATTTAAGGTTATAATTTTGAATTATTATTTTTGGAGATATAATTTTGAATTCTAAAAATTTTTGATTTACTTTTAAAAATAATTTATACATAGAGATCCAAATACAGGTCTCTTAACTTTATTTACTTTTTCTTTTTTTCTTTCTTTTCAATACTTGTTTTTTAACAATTGAGAAGTAGGGCCCTGTAATGGGTGGCAATAGGCCATCAATAGAGTTCTTCTTATATTAGCTTTTATTGGATTTTTCTTTGATTATTTTGATTGAATTATAATGTAATCTTTGACTTAATAAAAGCAGGCTGCACCAGTTTTCAAAAAAAAAAAAAAAATACAATGATGAGTTGACTGTTAAAGAAACACTATCACGGCATAATTGCGGGTTAAAAAATAATAATAATGATTTTTATTAGTATTTTTTTTTTTGAAAATTAAATTAATACACAAGATAAAGATTCAATTTTTAAATATTCAAATACTATTCATTATAATAATTAATAATCATTTTAATCGATAAAAGTAAGTTATATTTTTGCGTTTAATACAGCATCATACTGTATATTTACTGTATTAGAGTACCATTTTTTATTTTATCAAGCCCAACATGAACAATTTATATTCTAGAAAACCGTATAACATGAGTTTAATAATAAAATTTCATTAACGAATTGTATTTTCCTTATGATTTGAGCAGGGATGGAAAAAGTGGTAAGTAGGTAATAATGCGCATAGATGAGAATAATTAATTAAAATGACCACCGATTATTGTTGCATTAAAATAACCAGCCAACGCCCCCGTCTTTTCTTCTAGGAAACAATGATTCTTTGTTCATATCCTTAATGAACTTAACGATAGGGTGTGCCATGATTTCGTTAAAAAAAAGGTTCGTTAGCCCACATTAACGGAAATTGAACTAGTATTCGCGCGCGCTTTGTATGTAATCTCACCACGGGTACCCTAACATTTGCGCCTCAAATGCTAACACTTACCTCGTCAATGCACGAATGTAAATGTGCGAGATTATCCTGCACGAAATCACCACACGAAAAATTTACGGCATGTCAGTAACAGATATTAATAGATTGTGGTCAAATGGACAACAATGGAGGTCTCGTTTTTGTTGTCAATTGTTACCGATTTGTCTTTTTTGAAACAATGGGATGCTGAGCGATAATTGTTTACCGTTCTGCATATCGTCAACGGCATAAAAAAACTTCAAAATTAGGTAATTTGGGGAACGATGGGTTGCACGGCAGATGGTACATTTATGCACGATTATATTCGGCACGCATAATCATAAAGAAACAGAATACGTACATGGTTTACGTAGGCCTTCCCTCGAACTTTTTTGACATCACCAACGTAATTAAAAACGAGTTTAATAAATAGCGAATCAGATTACGTAAGTACATTACTATTTTTGCTATTGTTAAGATTTTTTTTTCCCGACTCAAACTAGGAAATTTTCTTTTGAATTCATTAGTCTTACTGGAAACATTATGCGGAAATCTTGATCATTAATAAAACTACATAGTACCGACTCTCAATAAAGTATAAAAGACTAATACGAAAACCGTATCGCCACCCTTCTGCAATGCATAACGCATTTTTTCTCCCCTTACCGATACAGTTTTACTATCATACCGATAAGTCATATATATGATTAATTCGCTTTCAACTCATATCAAGTAATAAACGATTTTTTCCACTAAAAAAAGAAAAAAAAAAAACGCGCTAGGCAGAAAAACCTTTAACGCTTTCACAAGAGACATTTATTTCGTAGTCGTTTTAGAATTAATTGTAATTAATTTGTTCGCTTTCTCTTGGTCTGGTCCTTTTCACCAGTACGAAAAAAAAAAAAAAAATCTCTCAAAAAAGAAACATTAAAAAAAGAAAGAATAAAATGCCGAGTGGACTTAATGGACTTCCAAATTCACTTTCTGGCGCCACAACCGATGTGGAAGGACCATCCCGCAACAATGATAATAAAACGAAACAAGGTTCAGGTGTTACTATTAATCTATTGCACAAATTAACAGAACTATTTGCGTACACCTCGACCGTGGCCTCCGAAGCTTATCAGAACTTAACGGGAAATTCTGAAAATACCGATGCGGAACACAGCTATGATTATTATGATTTTGATGAGGTGATGCAAATTAACGCTGGTGATGACTTGGTTGATTCCGAGCCACCACCACCTTATGATATCACGTGGTCTCCGGTAAGTAGTGTGGCCTCATTTTTTCATTTTTTTTTGATTTTGATTTTTGGCATTATTTAAGTAACGTGATTGTGATATATTTTAGACGGCACAAGATACAATAGTCACCAAGGATAATAATAATAAACCCTCATCACGTCGTAAACAAATCCGAGTTCATCGAGGGAGAAGAGTCAGGCATAGATCATCATCCAACGCTAGCACAAACACTTTATCCTTTCAATGTGATGATGAAGACGATGAATTCCTTAGATTCAACTATAAATTGATGGATTTGATAGTTGAGGGTAGAACTGCCCTTACCAGCACAGTAACAGTTAGCGATGTTGAATTTTTATTGTCCGAAGAAAAGGAACGCGAGGAGAGAATCATGAGAGAACTTGGTATCCGGACACCCATGACCCGACGTTCCCGGAGCAGCACTTGTTCTTCAGTTTCCTCGGATTCAGATTCTATTTTATCGTCCACCGCTCCAATTAATTCATGCTATGGATATTATTCACCTATTTCTGGTCACCCCGATGAATCTGTGTTCCCTCCTCCTCTCACTCAGTACGAATTTCCTGTGTGTTTCAAAGCAAACTGTCCACCAAACTATGGCTATGTTGATAATTTAGCTACCAGTTGTTCCCATGAACTACATTATCCTGGCGATTCTGATGGTTCGAAAGGCTATAGAACAGCTTCTTATGGATACGGTTCTAGCGTGTATTATTGAATACATGCACGTGTTCCTTCTTATTCTGTGTACACAAAAAAAAAACTTAACACCAGTAGCGATATACACATATATATGATACGTATGATTTTATTTAATTACTTTGGAAATCCATAGTATTTTCCAATGATTAAAAACTATTTTCTTTTGCAAAAAAATTAATTTGGGAATCCATAATTCTTTCTCAAATCGTCATTTTTTTCTCCTTTATAATCTTCCTTTTTTACGCCAAACCTAGAAAATTATATATATGTGTATTCACTTTATTTTACCAAATAATTATTAAATGTAAATTCTTATATTGTGTAAATATTTTTTCTCTCCTTTTAATTTTTTGGCGGCGGTTGGTGGTAGGTATTTATTTCCCTTTTCCATGCGAATGTTTTCGTATCTTTCTGTATATTCTAAAAAATTTCGAACCATTTGTTGTAATTCTATTTTATTTTATTTTTTTACGATCCCTGTACCTCAATACATTCGCTTAAAATATACTCTTTCTAATCCATATGAAATCAAAAGTTAAATCCGACAACATTTAACTTTATAAGTAAAAAATTTTCATGTAAAGGAGGTCACCCCTTCTTGTCAAAATAATGAATGTAAAAAATATATAAGCAAACTATTTTCAATAAAATATAAAATATGTTGTTTTTATGTTATTCGCAAAAGTTATGCATGAATCGTAATGAAAAAGATTTCTGGGTAAAGTTTAATATGAAATTAACTGCACAGATTATTTTATATTCCATAAATGACTAGCTCGTGTCCGAGTATTGCTTCGAGAGCTACAATATATACAGCATTAATAAATGACTTATACAGAATTAAATATCATTTGAAGTGGGTCCGGCCGTTAATATGGTGTTAAAATGTAAAGTATTTACAAAACCTTGCTTATTTTAAAATTAATAAAAATATTGTTATTACTATTTTAGATCTTAAGATACGGATATAAATACTGTATATATTGGCTTTTTTCTTTTTTTTTTAATCCACAATCATACCTTCTAAGGTGTCTTTATTTGACAACTAATTGTCATTTTATATTATTAGCTAAAAAATCACACTGCTTAAAAAAATATAAGAATTTTAATAAGCTAATTCAGAATAAACAAAACAAAATATTAGTTAAGTACTTTAAGTCAAATTTAAGAAACAATATTTCACTCCCTTGATAAATTAATACTAAAATCTCAATTGATCAAGATTATTGTTAACCATAGATTATTTCAAAAAATGATGAATTATTGAATTAATGTATCAAAATAATAATAATAATAATAATAATACAAAATTTCTTAAAAATTCTTATTCAAGTAAACAATTTTTTTCAAAAAATGGTTTGTCTAATTGAAATACTGTATTATTTAATTTTAAACTATCTAAGAAAATTATTTATTGTTCATTGAAATTATATTTATACTATTTGAATAACTTATTATCTTAAATTCTTAAAATTAAAGATCATATTTTATAATTTTTATCTATAACACTTGAACTTATAATCTAATTAAAATAATAGTATCAATAATATTTTAACCAAAATAAAAACTTAAAGATTTTTCAAAAAAATTATTTTTAAACTAGTACTAAAAATATAAAAAAAAAAACATTAGAGCACTATTAAATAAAGATCTAAATTTTTTTTATTACCAATTATTCACTAGGACTAATATCAAGAAGAAAGTTAATATCTATAGATTATTTACAGGAGTACTATGTCTCTTTATCTTTGAAAAGAAGAAGTGAGACTTCTTCTATATTTTCTTCTTTTCAGATAGAAGAGGAATAGTTTCAGAGGTCAGCTTTATTAATATTATTTTATTTAAGAATCTGCATAGAGAACTAGTTATCCAAAGATCAGATGAGACCTTTAGTCAGAAGAATATTTTAAAACCTATAAGAGAGTTGTAAATTCAATTCTAATAATAATACTGGCTTCAAACATAAGCTGTTTATTTAAGAAAGTTTTGATATTGGTTTTTAGTTTATGGTTCTTCTATAAATAATGGATCAGAAATAAAAAATTTGTCAATTAAGAAAAACCTTTTGTCTTTCTTATTTGCTTTTTATAAAAATAAAACAGACCTTTATCTATTTGTGAGAGCTATTAAAACCTATTTGATTATTAAGGATAGATGATTTCAATATTAAAAATGATTGAAGTGTCTTATAACCTTTATTATAGTTGGATAGACTTTTTTTTTTTCAAAATTTTTTTGAAGGATATAGTTTTAACAAA